ATTTAATTTCTAAAAATAAAAATATAACTTTAAACTTGTTTGCCCATAAAAGAGATGACCAAATAATAAAATGAAAGGTATCTATGAATAAAAGTGACAGAAAAAGAGCACCTTTGTACCCCGAAAAGACCATACATCCACAAGGCGTTGTCAATTATTGAAAGATATGTGAAGGCTAAAATTGTACTTTTAACTTCATATACAAAAATTAAAACAAAGCATAACTAGTTCCAATTTTATTTTAGACTGAATAACCAAATTGGTCTTTGCTAGAACTAACATATTGTGGACACAAGTGTTACATTGTTGGCTATGTAGTTTCATTTTGTTGCATTACTGCATTACTGGTCCTTCACACCTTAAATTTGACTTTAAAAATATTACCTCTTTAGAAATGGTCGATATCCACTTGTACCAAAATAATGTTCAAGGACCATTTGTGTAATTATATGTATTAGCCTTAAATCCATAATATTATAATAACGTTTACCCTTGTTGATTCCCGCTTACGGACGCCTGCACCAGACACCGTTCTACAATTCTCCATTTCATTGACACCTCATATAATAATAATAATAATAATAATAATAATAATAAATAAATAAATAAATAAAAAGGTTATTAACTATTTAAAGGAAGAAATCAAGTAATTTGTACATAAAAGTGAAAGTAAAAGAAGAATTATCAAATTGGACAAGTTGATCAAATTAAGGGAGGAGATTGAAAATGTTTAGGGTTTATTTGTTAGCATCAAAGTTCTAAATAGCGTAAACCACGATAAGTCTTGACGAGTTATGATGTTTTTCAAAACGTGTCTATTATATATATATATATATATATATATATATATATATATATATATATATATATATATATATATATATATTACTTTCAATCAAGAACAATTATGAAATTAAGAATGCAAAAACCAAAAAGAATGTTGACCATCCATTTTGAAATACTATTTTTAATGAATTTATTTGAAATACCTTAAGAATTGTAGTTTTTAATTTTTTTTATAAATGACCATTAATAGTGATATGATATTTTTTTTGTTAAAAATAAGAATTCTTTTTTTATTATAATTATTATCATTTAAAACTCCATCATATATATATATATATATATATATATATATATATATATATATATATATATATATATATATATATATAGAGAGAGAGAGAGAGAGAGAGAGAGAATGTTAAGTTATGTAATGAGCAATTGGTGAGCACATGAAACATAATCCAACAAAAAAATTTCAAATCTAATAACAATCACATGAACCTAAACAACTTAGGTAGGTCGGGCATAAGTTATAAAAAAAATAGAAAAAATAAAAACTTAAAATAATATATATTTTTTGATTTGTATGCATTTTGTTATTATATTGTTTTTTTCATTCATATTTGCCCCCTTGTTTAATTGTATATATCAACTCCTTATGACCGACTATTACAAGTAGACCGGAAAAAAAATTTAATAAGATAATATATTTTTCACTTTGTATATATTTAGTCCTTTATATATTTTTTTTGTACAATTAGTCTATAATATTTTTTTTGTTGCAAAACAAGTTTGGTTATTTTTGTATACATTCAGTATTTATAAACGGTTTCTTTATGTTTTTTCTTACAACATACTACATAGGACAATCATTAATGATGTGTTTGGGGTTGTTTATGCTTATTGGCATTGGGACCTCGATTGTTTGGTGCTTAGGCCTTGTGTTCTAAATGTCGTAGTTTCTTCATACAATCTTAGATTTTAACGATGTTTATATCTACACTTTTGTATTTGAGTCTACTATAATTTTCGTTTAAATTACACTCGTTAAAAATTAACATATTTTATACTTACGATTTTATATAAAAAAAACATTCATATATACATGATTAAAGAATGCATGTATATACAGATCGTAACTAAAAATATATTATTTTTTAACATACATAATTTAAACAAAAGTTTTAGTAGAGTTAAATACGAACACGTGGATATAAATATTATTAAAATCTAGGATTGTATGAAAAAGTTACGACATTAAGAATACAAAACCTAATCAACCAAGCAGTTAGGTCGTGGTGACCATAAACATCAACATCTCCGGACACCTTATTAATGATTGTTCCACATGGAATACCGTGAGAAAAAAATATAAAAAAACAAGTTATAAGTACTAAATGTGTACAAAAACAACAATAAGTTATTTTGCAACAATAAAATATTAACGATTAAATTTGGAAAAAAAATATTAAGAACGAAATGTATAAAAAGTGATTAATATATTATCCTATTAAGTCTTTATTATTTTTTTTTTACCTAATGTAGTTGGTCATAAGGACTTAATGTATACAATTAAACAAAAATTGACGAAAAAAGAAACTTAATTACAAAATATGTACAAATCAAAAAATATATTACGTTTTAAAATCATTATCCCACAAAATCACAAATAATAAAACCAAAAAAATCAACACACTAGTAAAATGGAGCTTAGAAATGTTTGAATCTACAACTTATTGGATCATAAAACATAACAACATTAATGAAATAGTAATTTAAAGCAAACAATTGTTGGAATGCATCCAATTGAGGAAAATAAAAGGTCAACACAGTCATCGACGTCTTTGTTCATAATAGTCTCGGATTGATTCTTTTGATAGTAAAATGTAGGGGTGAGCAAAACCGAATCCGGAAACCGAAAAACCGAAACCGTAATAGAAACCGACGGTTTGGGTTTGATTTTTTTAAAAAACCCGAAATATTGGGTCGGTTTCGGTTTTATAAAAAACAAAAACCGAGAAAACCGACCCAAACCGAATTTTATGAAATATATATATTCTGCGATTTATATATGTATATATTCGTTTTTGTTCGCTTCTAAGCAAAAAAACAAACTTGGTGTAGTGGTTAAGGCGTTGCAACATTCTTCTAACTTGTCCCAAGTTCGAAACTTATTGCCTACATTTCTTTTGTTTTATTTATTTTGGCTGTCCTTTAAAAACTATCCCACATCATCCAGGTGTTCAAACTAACCTGCATATTATCTCTTATATAAAACATGTTGATTCTAACTTCATTCCCACATCGCCCCTTGTAACAAAAATCGATCATCCTTGCTTCTATAAAAGGATTATCATCTTTCAAAGAATTATTTGGGATTTCTATTGGGTTTGGGTTTAAACCCAAATCCGAACCGAAAAGAACCAAAAATCCGAGAAACTGAACCTGTTGGTTTTGGGTTGGGTTGGGTTTTAAATTTCTAAAAACCGATAAGTTGGTTTTGGGTTTGGTTTTAGGTTCCAAACCGATCCATGCTTAGTCCTAGTAAAATGGGAGGTAGGCGAAACATTTTTCGTGAACTCATTTCGATAAACTCATTTTTAGCTTTTTAGAAACTCTATTCGTTGTAGATAAACTATACTCTAAACTCTATTTCTTATAGTAGAGAATCCTTAGACGGCTAGGAGCAGGCAACGCGTAATAACGTTATTATGACGTGGCCTACAAACATGACGTTATAACGTCTGGAACACCATGCCAGGGTAGCGTTTTTGCGTGTTAGATTACGACGCGTTACCGTGGTAACGCTTGAAAACGGCTATTTCTTCGAGGCTCAACTTATACATTTTGTTTTTTAAATTCTTCAAAAAAATTATCTTTTAAATACTATGGATCAAAACCCCAACACTCCTCCTCCAAACACAAATACACATCCGCTTCTCGGTTTTGCACTATACGAAATGTATGCGAACATCATCAATACTCAAGGCAATTTTTTCAATCCCGTCTCACCCCTTCCACAAAACCTTTTCAACCCATTTGATACAATGCAACAAAATACCACACAACCACAACCCACCCAACAAATTGTACCCGAAATGCAAGCGGAAAAAAAGGGCCCAAAAAGGGAGATCACGAAGGAAATGGAAAACGGTTGCGGTGGAGCAATTGGAAGATGAACCTCCAACATGGTGGACTGCGGACGAGGAGTATGCATTGACGGTGGCTTGGTGCGGAACATCAAAAAATCTAACGCAAGGAAACGACATGCAAAGAGTTGCCTTTTAGGAAGCCGTGATCAGGAAATTTCGTAGCCTTTTGAATAAAGATGAAAAATACCGCAATCACGACATGTTGAGTAGCAAATGAACTCAAATAAGCAAAAAGTGCACCAAGTTCAATTCCACCTACAACAGGCTTTCCTCACACAAGCAAAGTGGTGCGACCGATTTTGATGTTTATAGAGCGGTGAAGGAGCAATATCATGTGGAGACCAATCACGTTTTTTAGCACGAAAAAAATTGGGAGATTGTGAAGGAAGACCCAAAGTGGAATAAAACCGACACATTTACGGAACAACAATCAAAGAGGTCACGCGGCTCGGGTTCGGTAGATGTTTCGGACGCACGCACAAACATCGACCTCAATGCGGACACGGATGAGATATCGGACGGCTTGAACGACATTGAAGAGATCTCCCCTCCTCGACCAATAGCCCGTGACAAAGCGAAGCGTGCTCAACGGCATGCGGATGAAACCGAAAGTAGACGACGAGAGCAAGCCGAAATGAAAAAAAAAAAAATGACGAACACAACGAATCGCGCGTAAAAGATATGATTTGCAACGGAAACATTTTGAGTTTTTGCGTCGTGTCGAGGACAACGTATTGCGAAAGATTTGACAATTCTTCAAACTAGCGAGGATAATTTGTCACCGAGACGGTTGGAAACACTCCGAAAAATGAAGGCGAAGATTGAATAGAAATATTTAGACGAAGATTAATGTTTCTTTTTTCGCTGTAATATTGTGACACCTTTTAGGTGTGGTAACATATAATAACATGTTGCTACCAACAGCCTTAAACAAGACATGTGTAGGAAAGAAATGGTGAATACAAAATTATTCAGGAATGCGACTGGAACGTACAATAATATGTTCGGAAAAAACCTTTTTTTGCTATGTCATTTGCAGAAAAGCTTTATATCCTTTATGCCTCACCCACTTTCTATCACGTAGAGTTTCCTACAGAATGGTTATTTTTTAAAACTGAGAAAAAATTTAGGATTATTGTTAGCAAACTTGTATTTGCATATTGATGAAGGAAAAATACAATCACTATATTAGATAATCAAATAGTTATATGGTTAAATTTAATAGTTAATGTAATTTCTAGATGTCTATTTTTATAATGTTATAGAACTATTTACAATTGAATGAACTTCGAATGTATTATATCTTACAAATCCCAAGAGAATTCTCCACTCTCGTAAGAATTCACTATTTAATTATATTTACATAAATTACACCAAACCTTAAAAATTGTTTTCATTAAGGTTGTTTGGGTCAACATAAAGTCAAACCACGAAACATACTTAGGAGGGAAACGTCTAACACTTTCAACCAAATACTGATACGAGTCACGATCTTTAGCAACTAGCTCTCCTAAAACTGGAATAACTGAGAATGAGTAGTAATCACACATTTATCAAAAAATAAAGAAAAAAATAATAATAATAAAAAGGGGAAACATAAATATTTATAACACTATATCATAAGTGTAGAATAATTTAATAAAATACTAATATTATAAAAGGCCTAAATTTTTAAGGTGTAATTGAAAAAAGCTCTAATATGTTTTTTTATTGCTATGGTTACAACTTTCTCGCAGAATTATCAGTCTAGCCCACTTAACGAGTTTCATTGTTAACTTTTTTGCAAAATCAGTCGTAAAAATTTCAAATTTGGTCCATGAGGTTTGTAAAAAATTATACCACATGGTTTTTTAACTTTATTTTTCAACAATTTGATTTTGTTTTTACCATTTTACCTTTTGTTTTCTATTTTTTTTAGTGTATATATAGAGTTTGAGTTTTTTTTTTTTTTTTTTTTTTTTTTTTTTTTTTTTTTTTTTTTTTCGTATTATATTTTAAGTTTTGTCTTTTAATTTTTTTTAAATTTTTTCTTTTTTTTTTTTCCAATTATTTGTTTTTAGTTTTTTATATTTTTAACTTTTTATTGACCTTTTTCGAAAAATGTAAAATGTATTAATATATTAGAATATATTACAACTTTGATAAGTTATAGTTTTTGTATTTTTTTTTATTTTTATTCAAGTAAATAAAATAGTTATGTTTATATTTGTAACTTCGGTCAAAATTATTTTCTTTTTATTTTTTTGTTCTTCAGTGCTATTATATTTATGTTACAAAAGTGAAAATAAAAAAAAAAATAGCTTGTTTATTGAGGATTAGTGTTTCAATATGTGATATAACTTGCAAATTAAATCATATTTCTATATGTGATATCAATAGTTTAAATTCAAGATAATATTTCAATTTGATAATAGATTAAAAGAAAGAACAAAAAATAATAATAATAATAATAGTCGGCCTCAATAAAAAAAAACTTGTTATATAATTTATATTTAAATCAAGTTCGTTTACTTAAATCAAAATAAATAAAAACATTAGAAAAACCATAAATAACTAAAATAGAGAAAAAAAATAGAAAACAAAAGGTAAAAAGATAAAAAAAAAAAAAAAAATCAAATTGTTTAAAAATAAAGTTAAAAAAATGAAGATAAATAAAGTATCCATAAAAAAAGAAAATAAAAAATGTATATATATTTATAAAAAAATGAAAATAAATAAAGTATACAAAAAATGAAAAATAAAGTTAAAAAACCATGTGATGTAATTTTTTACAAACATAAGGGACCAAATTTGAATTTTTTAGGACTGATTTTGCAAAAAAATTAATCATAAAACTCGTTAAGTGAGCTAGAATGATAATTCTGCAAGAAAATTTGTGGCCATAGCAATTATATAAAAAAAATATTAAGGTTTTTTTGAATTACGCGTTAAAAATTTAAGGCCTTTAATAAACAAAGAGTAATACAAACAGTTGCATGAAGACTGGAGCTTCAACAGAGCTGAGTTCAAGACAAAGGAATCTCCCTCCTTTCTTGAGTACCCTGATTAAAAAAAATATATATTTATAAAACTATAAATTTTTTATTAAAAAAATACAAAAAGTAATACCTACATGCTTCAGCAAGAACTTTTTCTATGTGTGTAACATTCCTAAATCCTAATACCAAAAGCAATATATAAATAAATCTAAGTTTCTTCTTGACAAGAAAATTACGGTTTTACCTCTTGAGAATAGTTAGGTGTTATTTGTTTTTTTAAAAAAACCACTTCAGACGACTTATTGTTGCGCCGCGCAGCACTTGGCCCTTCGCAGCTGTTTGTTTTTAGAAGACTTCTGATTTAAAAACTGTTGCGTGTGTGCTGCATGGCGTAACACTAAACCAACTGCTTTAAACCTCTTCACGCCTTAGTTTAACTTACTGCAGCTGTCTGCAGATGGTAAAAAAACAAACATACTTTCTATTACAAGTTGCAACTGTTTATTCCACCTCTTCTGCTACAAAGGATTGTAGAGGTGGTCCGCAGACTTTACGCATTTTGTCTTCGAAAAAACAAACAGCACCTTACTTATCTCTTTGTTGGGCTCGTTTTTTTTTACTAACATCCAACATATTTGGATTAATATCACAAACATCACCTGTATAAACAACAAGTGATTGAACCCTCTGAGTTCTGACTAGGAGCAAATCAAATGACCATTTTACCCTTCTGCCGTGAAGTGATATGCAAATCACAAATGACTGTTTATTTGAGAATTGTTATAATTTCATGAGTGTTGTATAAACAAAGAGTGATTCTTTTTGGACTAAATGAACCTTCTGACTTCTGACTATGAGCAAATGACCATTTTACCCTTCTATCATGAAGTGATATGCCAAATAACAAATGACTGTTTATTTGAGAATTGCTATAGATTGAACTGTAAATGGAAAAAATTAAGAAAGTTTTTGGCATCTTATTTTGTGGTTTAGAGAGTGAAAATATACGAAAGGGGATGATTTAGGTAAAGGGTAATAAGGTCAAAAGGAAGATGTTGAGAGAAACTAACCTTGGTGAAGACATTGCCAACCATTTGCCTTTTTTCTTCTTCATTTACTTCTTTAAATCCTGCATGAAGTACAATTAGGACACCAATAATCATTATAAAAAAAAATAAAATAAAAAAATAACATATTTAATCAGAACTTATAAATAAGGAGTTAAGGACATTACTTAAAATCTATAAAAAAATATCAATGTCATTAAAATAACAATTTCATAGAAAAGCCAACACTCGAGAGACAATCAAGATTAATTCTTTATTGAATTAACTCCTGCATAAAATAAATGTTTTGGTTTAATTACCAGATAAGCAAACACAGATAAGAAACTCAATTTCCATGTTCAAGAATAGTATACACATCAGATATCATATATGAACAGCAAACATACAGAAAATCAGGAGTAGCGACATTAAAGAAATCGACTAAAATCAGTTGTATATTTGATAATAATATCAAAGAAATTGACCTACATCAAAGCTAAAAAAAAAAAAACGCCAACTGAGATGCTGAAAAGATATTTGCTATTAACACCAGCATCAATTGATAATAACATCAAAGAAATCGGCAACATCAAAAGGAATTTCTGTAAAAAGTGGAAAATAAAAGGAAGAAAAATGGAACCTGGTTTGCGAGAGTGTAGCAATCGATGGTCTCCGGCCGGTGGCTTCACAGGGTTGGCGACGGCATAAGGAGGCGAGCAGGGGAGGGGGCGACGTGAGAGCAGACGCGATGTTGGAATGGAGATGCGTAATGAATAAAGGTAAGGTTTTAGTTTAAAAGGGCATTTTGGTCAATTCCCAAATCATGTTAAAAAAATAGTTTTTGATAAGAAAGGAATGGGTAAGTTATTAAAAATGGATTGTTACTATGCAGACAAATTATAAGTTGGGATAATACCTTGAAAGTGTAATCAACTTTCGATTTTTGTTACATTTAGTCACTAAATTTTTTTTCGTTATCTATTTGCCATTGAACTATTAAAACTGTTCATATTTTACCCTTATGACCGGCTGTTACTGGTCATAAGGGTAAAATATGAACAGTTTTAATAGTTTAGTGGTAAATAGATAACGAAAAAAAATTTAGTGACTAAATGTGAACAAAATCGAAAGTTCGTTTCCGTCTAAAAAGTTCAATGACTAAATGTGAATAAACTTCCTATTGTATTATGTTTTAGCAAAATTATTTATTTTTGTTTAATTGTAGCAACATTTGTTGATGAAGAAATCTAGGAAATAAAAAAAAAAACAAAATGTAACATCCGGATTTCCAGGTATCATAATTTAAGTATTTTCTTTTGAGTTAAGAAGAGAGACTCGACGAGTTGACGCCTCAACTCGTCGAGTAAGGTCGCGACTGACGACTCGGATTAATGAATGGACTCGACGAGTCGGTGAGGCGACTCGACGAGTCCGCGCTGTTGGCAGAAACCCTAAATCTTTGGGCCCGAGCCATATTTAAAGGCACTTATGGCCTTCAATTGCGACTACCTTTGCCATAAGTGAGAACCCTAACGAGCTTGAGTGTGTAGAGTGAGAGGAAGAGCTATCTTGAGCTTTTTGGTGTGATAGATCTGGACCCTTCTAGGTCCAAAGAGCCGAGAATATGAAGCTTTAGTAGAGTAAACCTTGGGGTTCGAAGTTAGGAAGCATTTATGGGATTTTTATGGTATATATAGTTACTTTCATCTTACACATAGATATGAAGTATTTTATATAAATTACGTGCTATGTATGCATATTATTTGAATACTTGTTATCTATACTGGATGAACGATTTTATACATGTTTTAAAAGATTTAAACGGTATATTTATTTTATATCTACAAATATGTTGCGAATGAAACATGGATAGATGAAATAGTTGGTGTGTGATGAAATAAAATGATGAGAGATAGATGATGATAGAAAGGTGATGATAATTCGGTAAATAGATGATGATGAATATGTGATGTAGGATGAAAGGAGATACCATAACCTTAACCAGCAATGTGGCGATGTAGTCATCTATCAGAGTATAGATGACGACCACGTACCATTCTAGACAACCCAGTGGAAACACCAGCAGACCCATAACATGTAGGTGATGAATTACGAGTTCAGACGATGTTGTAACTACATATTCATACGATGATACTCTAACCCCTTACTATGAATTACGAGTTCAGACGATGTTGTAACTACATATTAATGGGATGTCATAAATTCCGCATGCCAAACCAATGGTCATAATTCACATTAGTGAGAATGGTTTATTTTTTTGTAAAACCGAAATCAGATTGGAAATTTTGATTTTTTATTTTGGAAAATGTCAAACCATTGGTTTTTTATTTCGTTTTTTTTTAAATATATTTTCAGGGTTTTGTTTTTTGTTTTTTTTCATAGATTTCTTCATCAACAAATGTTGCTACAATTTAACAAAAATAAATAATTTGCTAAAACATAATACAAGAGGAAGTTTGTTCACATTTAGTCATTGAACTTTTTAGAGGGAAACAAACTTTCGATTTTGTTCATATTTAGTCACTAAATTTTTTTTTGTTATCTATTTGCCATTGAACTATTGAAACTGTTCACATTTTACCCTTATGACCGGCAACAGCCGGTCATAAGGGTAAAATGTGAACAGTTTCAATAGTTCAATGGCAAATAGATAACGAAAAAAAGTTTAGTGACTAAATGTGACAAAAGTCGAAAGTTCGTTACCCTTTCAAGTCATTATCTCTTATAAGTTAGTTTTGAAAGTTTTCATCATAAGCTACTTCTTTTATATATGAAATCGATAACAAGAAGATCATAATCTATTTAACTTATTAAACTTTAATAGGGATATATACAGTAAAACTCTAATATTTTCATCGATTTGAAAAGAAAATCGTAAAATTTATTTTTTTAATAATAAAGTCCTAATCACCGGCGGTTTTTGACACTATAATCATTTTTGTCGGTTAGCCGGTAATTAGGATTTTTTTGTCAAAAAAAATAAAGTTTAGGAATTTCTTTTCAAATCGTAAATTAGGACAACTGTCAAAAAAATAAAGTTTAAGATTTTCTTGTCAAATTGTTGAAAATATTGAGATTTTAGTGTATATATCCATTTTTTGTTAAAAATTTAATGATATGATAGTCCTTGAACATAAAAGTTATTGAAACATGCTCTAGTCAGCTAGATCCTATTGAAATCCTTAATCTTTCCTTCTTATTAAATAGTTTTTTAATCTCAACAAAACGATATTGAAAAAAATGGAGATAATTAAGAAAGAAAGAAAAAATCAGGGTTGTGGGTTGTGTTGCTTTTTACAATCTTAAATATGGAGAATTAAGAAACCAGGAAAAAAATTATCCTGCGGGTGAGAATGTGGAAAAGGGGTAAGAAGGGTATTTTTTTTTTCGGTTTCTTAGTTCTTCATTTTTAAGACTGCAAAAAATCAAACACAACCCACAACCCTGTTTTTTTTTTCTTTCTTGATTATCTTCATTTTTTTCAATATTGTTTTGTTGAAATTAAAAAAACTATTTAATAAGAAGCAAAGATTAAGGATTTCAATAAGATTTAGCTAACTAGAGCATATTTCAATAACTTTTATGTTTAAAAACTATCATATCATTAAATTTCAAACAAAAAAAAATGGATATATATACTAAAATCTCAATATTTTCAACAATTTGACAAGAAAGTTATAAACTTTATTTTTTTGACAGTAAATCTTAATTTACGATTTGACAAGAAATACCTAAACTTTATTTTTTTGATAAAAAAAATCCTATTACCGGCTAACCGGCAAAAATTGGTAAAATGTCAAAAACCGCCGGTAGTTAGGACTTTACTGTAAAAAAAAAAATTAGGACTTTCTTGTCAAATCAATGAAAATATTAGGGCTTTACTGTATATATCCCAACTTTAATGAATTGAAACATCATCATTTTAATTTATATATATAATTATATATTAATTTTTCTAGAATGCATTAAACTTTATAAATTTCAATAAAATATATTTTTAATGATTAAAAAAATTATCATTAAATAGTTCAATGGACAATTAATTCATATTCGTTGAACACTAATATCATATTCCCTAAGACTGGTCGGAGTGAAAATTGCCTACCGATGTTTTTAGAAGAAAAAACGAGAAAACTGACGTTATAAGATGTGGTGGTGATAACGGGAAGCAACGTGCATGCTAATAACGCGCAAAAAATGGAAATGAGGGACGAAATTTGTGATGTTATAACGTGGAAAAACGCTTCATGGGCGTTGTCCACGCCTAAGAGTCTAATGATATAGTTTAATTCATTAAATATCAATTAGAGATGTCATTCAACTCTTTCATTAAACCATTCATTATATATATATATTCTCAAAGTTAAAAACCTCCCAAGCACTCTCTAAATAGAGTATCTAGAACACATTGTTCATAGAATTAATGGATACACATAAATAAAAAGAAATTGAGATTTTTATTAAATAATAATAGATATTTTATAATATTTGTTGATAAAATTATATATATGGTCCCTATAGTTTGTTAAAATAGGCATATATAGTCCTATTTCAAGAAAATAAACAAACCCAATCCTTGTATTTTGTTGATATTACATAAATGGTCCTTATAATAGTAAACGATGCTAAAAATTACTGTTAAGTTTCGGTAAAATGACATTTTAACCATTTTTTCTTTTTCTTTTTCATATTTTGTATTTTATTATTACTTTTATCTTAAATTGTAGGGACCATCTATATAACTTATATTTCATTTACTAATTTTGTCATATATTTTCGTCAAATTCTCCTGATAGTTCACAAAGAAATCTTAGGTTTTTCTTCTCTTTATGTTCTTTTTATTCAAATTATGGTTTCACGAATTGTTTTCTTACTGCAGATAAATGTTGCACTTATGCTAGAGACACGATATGTTGATTGATGTTATAACGCTCGTAGATTCAAACTAATCAATTTAAAGATATAAGCAGTAAAAATGATTTTTTGATAGAAGATTATTTAGGGAAAATAATCTTAACAAAAGTTATAGTATACATAATAAGGATTCCATACATATAAAGAACGCCGAAATCCGACTTCGTATAAAGAAGTTATGCTTCATCGAAGTTTCGCGATTTTAACCGGTACGACTCTGCATATCGTAAAAAGTAATTTTTTGATAAATTGCTTTTTAGCCTAAGATGTCTAAACGAAAGTCGTAGTAGTTGTATAACCGAGAGCGTGCATATAGAAAACGTCCAAACCTGACTTCGTGGGAAAAAGTTATGATCTTTTGAAGTTTTTACGCAACAATATACGGCTCAGAAACTGAAGTAGTGATTGGTTGATTGTTAGGAAAAACAATCTAAACAAGAGTTGAAGATCTCACCCATAATATCACATTGATAGGGGCGGAACATGATCAATAGAAGTGAAGGGGCCAAAACCATATTCAAATTTTTTAATAATATCAATAAAAGTCATTCAAGGTTTTTATAGTTTTTTATATCGAACAATTCAGAGGTCTAATTGATCTTAATTTTTTGGCTGACTACAAATTCATAATAGATTTATTAGTATATTAAGTTGGATGTTTCAATATGTTTTTGAGCTAGTTTTGTACACATCACGTATAAAAAAATCAAAGTATAAAAAAATCAAAGAATTTTTTTTTCCTTTATGAACAAGCCTTTACAAAAAATTATACCTTATAAAAACAAACTCATCGAAGAAAACAAATGTTTTTATTTATTTCTCATAATGATTATCAAAGACATTAGCTTTATATTAAAAATATATTATATGAACATCCCTATTTTAAGAAAAAAGTTTTTACCTCCATTTTTGTTACAACATCATATATATGAGACTAGTGTACTATAAAAAGATTTTTTAAAAAAAATTTGATCACACTTCGTCGTGATCTAAATTATAGAAGGGATTACAATGTATATTTAAATGAAAAATTAGAATTGTATATCCTTCCTGATTTGGAAGCGAAAGCTCAAGACACTATTACAAAATATTTATAATACTACTATTTAGTGAAAGCATTTCAAAATTAAATTGTAATTTTTAGTGGAGCAAAAAGCTTAGGGGCCATGGCCTCCCCCAGCCCTTATAGGCATCCGCCACTGCCCGTTGAAATAAATATAATCGAGAACGGATATCATATGAGAATGTTCTTAAAATTTACCGGACTTTAGCAGTCTAAACATGTTAAAAATATAGATTAAAAAATAAAGTCAAAATTAGCTGATGGATTCTAAATGAAAGTTGTAGATCTCATCAAGAGCTTTTCGTACATATAAATAACATTGAAAATATGGGCTCGTATGAAGAAGTTACAGAATTTTGAAAAATATGGAAAAACGTATGCGCGAAGTATGTCGTGTGCACTGATGACATGGCACTCTCCGGAGGTGACATGTGGCCAGTCAGCCGCTCCCCTCCTCTAAGAGTCAACGTGACATAACACCAAGAGATTTGGACACGTGGCACCACAAAACATGACACGTGGTGACGTTCTAGAAGCTATGACACGAACTAGTGGAGCAGCGACATGTGGCAGACAAGCACAGGAACCAGCACAACCCTGGTGTGCAGCGCGCCTCCAGGCTATGTGTGGCATGCCCGACTGGTGCCTATGTATAGCTTTCCAAAAATCATTCCTCCCACACCAACTTCACTCATATTTCTCTCTAGAGCCATTTCTTTCTTTGAATCCAATCTCTTTGGGCTTTTAAAGTATTTTATTAAGGTTCTAAGGTCCCGAAGAGCCTATGTAACGTCCCAAAATTTCCGAGTAAAAATTTCATTTTTAAATAAGTTAAGACCATTCATTCATTGTCCCAAAAAACGATCAGAGTCAAAGTATTCTCAAAACATCATACAAAATAGTAAACATTTAGTGCGAAATAAATCTCCAGGGGATGCAGTGCGATCAAGTCAGACCCTTCATTTGAAAACAGAAGTACCTGAAACCATAAGCATAAAACTATAAGCATAAAGCTTAGTGAGTTCCCCAAAATACCCCATACCATACATATATAATAGT